TCAAAAAACCAATGGTTTTTCACAAAAAAAATGTCAAAATTTCATCCCGCGCGCTCTTGCGGATTCGTAGGAAACCCAACACTTTTTAAACATTTCTGTCAAACGGGCTTTTGCGAGCAACTTTTTCGAACTTCTGCAACAACGGTTGCGCACCTGCCAGGGCCATCATCCCTGTCAAATAATACCATGCGGTACACATTCGTTTTTTCTTCGCGCGCGCACGCCGAAATCTCCAAAAACCATTGGGCTTCTTAAGAATTTTAGCACCGCGCATCATAAAATCACACGAATCGCACCGTAGGTCCTCGAAAAACACCTGCACGACTTTTCAAAATTTCTACCCGCGCGCGCTGTCCTAACAACTTCTGTGGGTGTGTACTCCACGCCAGTGTAATAGCCACGGTCGTCCGCAGGCCACGAAGTGAAGTGTCCGAACGTCATAGGGCGGGAAGCTGGGTGTGGGTGGTGGCGAAGAGTCGTGTGGACATTTGGTAGAGCTTGCACTGCCCCCCCCACAAAGTGGGGGTATTGGCTGGCGTCGCATGAAAACCCTGGCACTGGTGAGAACACTGAGCGTTCGGGTAAAGTGATTGTTGTTGTTGTTGTTGTTGGTGTTGTTGGTGTTGGTGTTGGTGTTGGTGTTGTTGTTGTTGTTGTTGTTGTTGTTGTTGTTGTTGTTGTTGTTGTTGTTGTTGTTGAACCTTCATTACTAAACAATTATTATTGTTGGACCCCCTATATTCGCCCTGGCGCTCTCGCCGAGGCGCCGGCCGCATTTCCTCTGAAATTGAGGCTCACGCTCAGGCGTTTTGGGGTTCCGCCAAAACCGGCCCCCCAACAACAACAACGCTCCGGCTCGAGACTTCCTCCTTTTTTACTCGGGCTCGGTGCTCTTGCTCGCCGCCGAGAGCGGCTCCCGGGCCGGACGCCCGGGTCGGCGCCCGAGCCGGCGCCCGGGCGCCGGAAAATCGAGTTCCGAGGCGGCGCCGAAAAAACGCCATTCCAATACACATTTTTCTTTCGGAAATGCTGAATTTCTGCTTCGATCCGGCGCCCGGGAAGCCGTCCGGGCCGATTCCGGAGCTCGGGCCGGCACCCGGCCCGGCTCCCGGGCCGGACGCCCGGGTCGGCGCCCGAGCCGGCGCCCGGGCGCCAGAAAATCGAGTTCCGAGGCGGCGCCGAAAAAAGGCCATTTCAATACACATTTTTCTTTCGAAAATGTTGAATTTCTGCTTCCGGCGCCCGGGAGGCCGTCCGGGCCGATTCCGGAGCCCGGGCCGGCACCCGGCCCGGCTCCCGGGCCGGACGCCCGGGTCGGCGCCCGAGCCGGCGCCCGGGCGCCGGAAAATCGAGTTCCGAGGCGGCGCCGAAAAAAGGCCATTCCAATACACATTTTTCTTTCGAAAATGCTGAATTTCTGCTTCCGGCGCCCGGGAGGCCGTCCGGGCCGGTTCCGGAGCTCGGGCCGGCACCCGGCCCGGCCTGCACCCGGCCCGGCTCCCGGGCCGGACGCCCGGGCAGTTCCGATCGCGCCGAAAAGAGGCCATTCCAATACACATTTTTCTTTCGAAAATGCTGAATTTCTGCTTGCGGCGCCCGGGAAGCCGTCCTGGGCCGATTCTGGAGCGGCTGTGGGCCGGACGCCCGAGCCGGCGCCCGTACGTGGTGCTTCTCTGCTTCTGGCGCCTGCGCAGCTTCCCGAGCCGCTTCTGGAACCATATCTGGGCCGGTCCAGCGATAGGTTTCCTGGATGTGCTGAACCATCCAACTTTTTGAGACTTCTGCGTCTCAAGGATAGGGAGAGAAGACATTAAAGGAGGATCAAAAAGCAACGTCGCTATGAACGCTTGGCTGCCACAAGCCAGTTCTACTTACTTGGACTACTACTACCGTTACCACTACTACTAGTGCTACAGCCGCAACAACAATATCATCAACTGCTGCTACTACAACTACTCATCCTTCCTCCCCCTCCTCCCCCTCCCTTCTCCTCCCCCTCCCTATCTCTCTCATCTCCCCCTCCTCTTCCCCTTCCTCTCCCTCTGAGATGCGGGGCATGCGCAAGGCGATTGCGAAGGCGATGTGCCGTCCGAGCTATGCATGTTGAAGTTCCTCGGAAGAGGTGGTGGCCAAACCTTCTTGGGCGGGATATCTGGGTGAGGGAATATCGGATCCCGCATGCCAGAAAAAATCACCCATGATGGGGTGTGTTATCCAGATGGATACATGTGGAAACATGGCGCATGAGGGTAAAATGATTGTTGTTGTTGTTGTTGTTGTTGTTGTTGTTGTTGTTGAACATTATTTATTCTAAAGAATAATTATTGTTGGGCCCCCTGGTGCACGCCCCCCCTGCGCCGCCTAGGCCGCAGCTACATTTTCATCATTTTCGTGAGGAAGCCTCAGGTAAACGATGTGATCAAGATCCGGTTGTTTTGTTGTAATCCGTTTTCCCTTGCAAAAAACACTATAAAATGACATTTCTTGTTCTAATATAATCAAATTTCAAGAATCCCTTGCAAAAAATAAGGTAAAGTGGACATTCGCGCGCGCAAGACGAAATCCTTCCAAAAGCTTAGTGTTCGCAGCGATTTTAACATAAAAACATCAAAAAACCAATGGTTTTTCAACAAAAAAATGTCAAAATCTCATCCCGCGCGCTCTTGCGGATTCGTAGGAAACCCAACACTTTTTAAACATTTCTGTCAAACGGGCTTTTGCGAGCAACTTTTTCGAACTTCTGCGACAACGGTTGCGCACCTGCCAGGGCCATCATCCCTGTCAAATAATACCATGCGGGACACATTCGTTTTTTCTTCGCGCGCGCACGCCGTCGTCGTCGGCCGCGGGGCCCTGAATAGTAGCCACGGTCGTCCGCATGCCACGAAGTGAAGTGTCCGAACGTCATAGGGCGGGAAGCTGGGTGTGGGTGGTGGCGAAGAGTCGTTTGGAAATTTGGTAGAGCTTGAACCGGCCCCCCCACAAAGTGGGGGTATTGCCCGCCTCCTATGAAAACCCTGGCACTGGTGAGAACGGAGTGTCCCCACGTGCTAGTAATTGTTGTTGTTGTTGTTGTTGTTGTTGTTGTTGTTGTTGTTGTTGTTGTTGTTGTTGTTGTTGTTGTTGTTGTTGTTGTTGTTGTTGTTGTTGTTGTTGTTGTTGTTTTTGTGCGCTGTTACGCAATAGTTCGACAATTCCGTGCTGGCCCGAAGGGCCTCAAGACGACGCAGGAGGCTTCCCGGAGAGCTCGAGGACGGGCCAGGGCGGCATCTTTGTGACATGTGGATGCCAACCACGCCCTCGAGGCCTCTTGAGAGGTCACTCGGGCTCTCGACCGGCCGACCGCCGCCCACACGTCATCTAGCGCGTCTGGATTCCCCACCAGCTGGAACTTTCGACCCCTTCCGTTCTGCAGGATTTCCCGTTCTGCCTGACTTTCCGAGTCAGATCGACCCCGGGGCCCCTTGCAGGGCGATCCACGCCGGTCTGGGCCGCTCCACGACGCCAGGGCAATTCTCCACGCTTCGCGTATCCCCACCAGCCCCTCCGTCCTCTTCGGCGTCCACTTCGTGCTCCTGGGGCGCCCCATGTGCTTCCTGTTTGCCAAGTTCGCTCAGGTGGTCTTCGCCAGCGGCACGCTGTTCTGCTGCTGACCGCCTGGTCGGTATCGCGGCTCCTCGCGCGCCGACACCTGCACTGTTTTTCACTTCGTTTCCGGCGCGGCCCGCCCTAGCACGCTCGGCGTTCGTTTCGTTCCGCGCGCCCGCTAACCAACAAACATCCCCACCAGCCCGTTAAGAGATCTTGCCCATGCGAGCTGACGGGAAAAGGCACGAAGAAACATATAGTGAAACAGAGCGGGCAAACAGGATGAACAGAGAGAGATCTTTGGGAGCAAGGGGGTGGCCTTGGAAGGCTTCTTCGGCTCTCGTGGGACGCTCTTGGGGCGCCCTTGGATGGTCTCGGGGCCCTCTTAGGGGCCCTCTTGGGGGCTCTGGAAGGCCGCTTGGGGCCATCTTGGAGGCTATCGATCAAACGAGGGAGATTCTAAATTTACGTCCCCTCCCTGCGGCCTTCAAAATCGCGTCTAGGGGCCCTCTTGGGCCTCTTGGGCACCTCTTGAGGCTCTTTTGAGCTGTTTTGGGGCTATATTTCGGCTTCAGAAGCGCATCGGAAGCGAAAAGGCGAAACATGGCAAATATCATTTAGTGTATTAAAGATTGCTAGCTTCCTGGACAGTTCCTGAGAGGGCTCCGACAGCATGTTTGATCCGTCTTGTGGCCCTCGTCGGGCATCTAGGAGGCATGTTGGAATTTATTTTTAATTTTCTTCGCGTACCTTAATTAAGCCGCCTTAGAGGCCATATTGGAGCATCAAAGGTCCTCTTGGAGCCATCGTGGGTTTTTTGAGCGCCCTGACCGATCGCCGTCCACCCCCTCCAAAAGCTCCAGGGAGGGGAGTGGGAGGGTACCCCTCCCCGAAGGGCAGAGGGTTTTGGAAGAGGAAAAACAGACATCGTTAGGCCACCTACGCGCAAAGGGCTGGTGGGATTACGCGCCGGTCGTTGGAAGTAATTAGGCATTTTTTGATGCCCAAGTCCTGAAATGCTTTACGCGCCTTACTACTTCAAGAGTCGAGTGGTATTCCTTCCGCCCTCGTCTTCAGGGGGCTGGCGGAAGCCCAATCTACTTTCAGCGCCTTCCTGCTTCGTGCTTCTGCCTGCTTCTGCCGACCGACGGGTATAAGTGTCACGCGGGAGGGAGGAGGAAGGACGAGGACACAGTGAGCGGCTTGAATAAGGAACGCTTTTTTTTCAAAAAGGGCTCGGTCGTTCCTCAGGCTTGCATGCGTTATTCATCGTTCCTTTATGCGTTTGTTTATAGTTTATCGCTCCTGATGCGTTATTCCCTGGAAGCAAAGGGGTTTCGCTCCTTATCTGTCATTCCTGAGGTCAGGCCGATGACTGTAAGGTTGGCGGAGGGAGCGCCGCTGGCGTGGAGGCACGGCGCCCTCGAGCCAGACGTCGTCGCCTACAACGCGTCCATCGGCGCCTGCGCGGCCAGCGGCCGGTGGGTGGAGGCGGTGGCGCTGCTGGAGGAGCGCAGGGCCGCGGAGGGGAGGCGAGGGGCACCGGGGGCCTCGCGGCGGACGAGCAGGGGTGGTTCATTGGGCTGACCTCTGTGCCAGTGCCGCCGATCCGGGGGGGGGGTGAGAGCGAGGGGAAGAAGGGGCCTGGGGTACCGAAAAAACGTCGGAAATTATATCGGAAATATCCCCGTGTACCGAAAAACGTCGGAAATGACGGAAATAACGTACCCCCCCCTGCAGAGCGAAGCTTGAGCGAGCTCAAGTCTACGCTCTCATATACTCACACGCCGGATCGGCGGATTTCTGATTATTCGGAAGTTCTTTGATTTTTTGGGGGGCCAAGATCCTTGCATTTCTAATTGTGCTGTCCTGGGCCTCTCCTGGCCACTAGGGGGCCAGGAGCAATTAGAAGCGAGCACAATTAGAACTGAGCACGATTAGAAATGAACGAGTCAGAGAAGGAAAATGTACGTACCCATACCGCTACCCTTCGGCCGTTGTCCATTTTTTGGTGTCTCCTGGGAGGCCCTCGCCACCACCGCTGGATTCGCCTCGGAATTCTGGTCAGAACGCACCCCACGGGAGAGGTCCAGGGGCCAGCGGTATCGGTACCTCTTGGCTTCCCCAGATAGGAGGAGGACGAGGGCGAGCAGAGAGCAGGGAAGGAAGCGACGCGAAGCAGAGCGAGCGCCAGGGTCGTGCGCGCTCCGCTGGGGAGCCCCCCCGTGCCCGGAAGGGCGTGGCGTGGAGGCCGTGGCCTCGAGCATTCCGAACGAAACTGCGAACATTGCGATGCGAGCGTGGTGAAGACAGGTCGGGGGAGCTGCAGGATGAAGTGTGTCAATTTGTTACTTGGCCAGTGCCCGGGGATGCCCGCGCCCTGTGAATACGAGTGCTGGCCGAGATGTCCGGCAGAATCTGCCCCTGGATGCCGGAGCTGGCGTTTTGGGGGGAGCGCGCTGCTTTCGGCCAGCCCGGAGGGGAAGCGAGAAGGGGCGGGCCTTCTCAGACGGCTCGGAAGCCCCCCAGCCTTCCGAGAAGTTTTCTCAGCCTTTCCCGAAGGCGCAACAAACCTTGCAGGAGGCCGGAAGGCTTCTGAAGAAATCCCGCCGCCGTCTGAGTAGACCTTCTTCTTCTCACTTCCCCCCCTCGCTCGCCGCCGAAGGTGTCATGGCGCCAACATCGCAGAGCGGAGTTCGTTCGGAAAACAACGGGATGGGCCGGGCCAGGATTGTCCTGGAGAATTTCGTTCCGGATTTCAAGGTGAATTTCGTGCGGATTTGTTCTGGCCAGGAATGAAGACTACGAAACATCCACGTGAAATTCACGTCGCTTTTCGCTGGCCATTTTGGGGTGCTGCACTGCGAGAGATCCACGCAGAAGTTCGCTGCAGCACGTCTGCAAGGCCAGTGCAATGAGAGGTGCTCTAGTGCCCCCCCTCTTCCGCCACTCCTGGTGCCGCCGCCGACGTCAGGAGCAGTTCAACAGGCTGTTGCGCCATTCGGCCCCCCCCCCCCCCAGGAAGAGGACATGTGCGGCTTGTCCGATGTCGTGTGTGTCGTTTGCCACTTCGCGTCGTGTCGCCCGCGTGTAGTCTGTTGCTAATTCCTCCTCCTCCTGTTCCTCCGCGTCCGTTGCGGGGCTTCTGGGAGGCATCTTGGATGCCGCCGATGTCCTGTTGCTCGTGCGTAGTTGTTGTTGATTCCTCCTCCTCGTCCTCCTCCTCCTCTTCCTCCTACTCGTCCTAGCGAACATGGTCGGCGGCACCAGCCGCAAGGCCTTCGCAACAATGCGCTGCTGACGGGGTGCACACCAGCCTAACGGCGACCCCAGATATCGGTAGGAGGACCTTCCCTCCACCTCCGAAGCAGCCTGAACGACGAGCACGAGGAGGGGAAAAGAATTCCTCCACCTCCTCCTCATCCTCATTATTATCCTCTTCCTCCGCGTCCGTTGCGGAGCTTATTGGCGGCCTCTTGGATGCCGCCGATGTCGAGAGATGATTTTTCCGAGCGCAGGTACTTCTGCGGCGCATGCTACGTTTCTTCGGGAGTCGAGACCTCCTGACCAATTCGAACACGGTTTGCCCGAGTTGCGTCTGCTGCTGCGGATCTATGTTCCAGTTGGCCACGCAGATGTTAGCAGTGCGCGCCAGAGAGTCCTGAATGTTGAACTTGGCTTGCCCCTTGCCACTTCCCATGCCATCCATCCTCCCTGCCTGCCTCTCTCGCTTCGTCCTATTCTCTCATCCCGCTCCCCTCCTCCCTCCTAGGGGCGGTTCAGTCAAGTATCGAAGACGTCTACGGCGAACCACCGCCGCCGCCCCCTGCCCTCTGCCTTTCTAGAGATGCCTATGTGCCGGAGAAGTCTGGCCAAAATATTTGACTGGGTGCTCCCCCAGCTGTTGTGGAATTCCTTGGGGGAGCACTGGGGGAAAGAGACAGAAGAGGAGGAGAGGGAGGAGAAGGAAGAGGAAGAGGAGAAGGAGGCCCCATTAAGGCCCTTGGGGCCCCTTTGAGGCCTCCTGGGGGCCTCCGCATCAGAAACCAATTGTCCGGCGCTTCTGCTTGCCAGACGGGCCATACGGATTTCACATCACGCAGCCCTTCGTGAAAGTCCCATCCCCGGAGGAGCTGCATTCGAGCTTCATGCGCAGCGACATGGTCGGCGAGATCCAGGGGCGGGGCGGGGAAGCGGTTTGCTCTTTTGCGCTCGCTCTCTCTCTCTCTCGCTCTCTCTCTCTCTCTCTCTTTATCCCTCTCTCTTTTTCGTCGTCTCCCCTCTCTCTCTCTTTCTCTGTCTCGCTCTCTTTCTCTCTCTCTCTCTCTCACCTTTTCCCTCGCTCTCCGTCTCTCTCTCTCTCTCTCTCCGGAGCGAGCGCCTACCGACGACCGTCAGGCAGCGAGCGACTGATGGCTGGAGCGGGTTTCGCGGAGCGCCTGCTCAGCGGAGCGCCAGCCGAGCAACGCCGCCTCGCCGCCACCCCTCGGCTGGGCGCAGCCGAGGCATGCGTGGAGGAGCATGCACAGAATCCGGCGATCCCAACACACGGATCAAGGGGGCATGGACTAGTGACGGGTTCCGCTTCCACTGGAAATCGCGGATTTCCGCCGCCGAGCGAGGCGGCACCGGCCGCATTTTGGGTTTGGCCACCGCGCGCCAAATTCATGGATGGCTAATCCATGCTTGCGCGCCCCCGACAGAAACACCCAACCTTCAACGATCCTGTTGAGGGAGTGGGATGCGTGCGTGCGCTCCTTGCCAGCAATACCTTTCTCCCTGGCGGGCGCATCCTCCGAGTCCGTATACGCCGTGTTCAGGTTCATTATATGATCTGAAATTGTGTCGGATGTACCCTACACGACGCAACACTTAGGGCGGCAATTTCCGCCTCGTACAAGTAGCAGCGCGGATGTTTGTTTCCTTGTTTGCGCAGGCATGGCGGAAACAGCAATTGCAAAGCAGGGCGGACATCGGCATCAAACGAGCTTGACCAGTAGGGCGGGAATTTTCGCCCTACACATGGTTGATTTCTGATTATTCGAAAGTTATCTGATTGTTTTGGGGGGCCAAGATCCTTGCATTTCTAATTGTTCTATCCTGGGCCTCCTCCTGGCCACTAGGGAGCCAGGAACAAGTAGAAGCGAGTACAATTAGAAGTGAGCACGATTAGAAATGAACGACGTGTAGCTTTGATCACCAGAAAGAATTTCGAGCACCAAGAAGTACCGACATGTGGAGGGTTTTCGCGTGTCGGTCCCTGGGAGGCGATGCTCGTTCGACACTGTTTCGAGACGTTTCTGGGTGCTGGAGAGTGTTTCTGGGATGTGGTCCTCAAGTACGAGTGGGAGCACCGTAAGTCAAGGGAAGAAAAGCCACCTGGATCCGACAAGTGGCGTTTACTCAACGGCCCTGGGCGTTTACTAAACAGCCCTGCCCCGTTCGATTCCTTCTTTGGGTGCGTTGACTAAACGGCCTCGCGTGTTGGGGTGGTTATCATCGGGGTGGACTTTCTGCCCCCCCACTCCACCCCGCTACTCCACCCCCCCCAGATCGCCCCAGAGTGCGGCGGACCCAGCATTGCGCCCCTGCTGGAGAGATCGCCCCAGTGGCTGCGCCCCGCGCCCGCCCGAGAGGGGCCCACTGGAGGCTGGGCCTCTCGCCCCAGCCCCTGCTCGCTGCCAGCCCCAGCTCGTCTTTCCCTGCAGGGCCCAGGAGGAGGAGGAGGAGGAGGAGGAGGAGGAGGAGGAGGGGAGGAGGACGAGGAGGAGAAGGAGGAGAAGGCGGAGGAGGAGGAGAAGGAGGAGGAGGAGGAGGAGGAGGAGGAGAAGGAGGAGGAGGAGGAGGAGGAGGGTTGGGTGAGGACCGAGGCAGGTCCCACACGCCGACGCCAAGCGAGCCCGTGCTGCTCGAGCGCGGCACGGCCTGTTGGGATACAAGTCCGTTTTGTTTGAGGATTGCGCGCCAATTTTGATGCATTCGGACGTTTCCGTCGGTTCCTGAATGTTTTCCTGCCTCGGGATGCGCTCCCGCACCTGCGCCTCCCCTGACCCCGGGTGCGACATTGGGCGGAGATCACCACCCTATCGTTCAAGCTCCTTTGATGTCGATTTCCGCCCTACTTGGCCGTCGCTGCCTCTGCCACACAGTTGCGGATCATCCGCCCTACTCTTCTCAGGGGAACATTTCTGTTTGTTTTGCCCCCACCACCGTCCTCACTACCGCCCCCACCACCGTCCCCACCACCACCGTCCCCACCACTGTCCCACTGTCCCCTACTCGTCCCGGCAAGGTCCCCACTGTTCCCACTGTCCCCACCACTGTCCCCACTGTCCCCACCAGTGCCCCCACACCACTGTTCCACTGTCCCCACTGCATGGTTTGGGGTGCGTGTCCGACGTACTTCAATTCAGAAACTCAGCCACTGTACGGCAGATCTGGAGTCAGGGCAGGGCCCATCTCGATCCGGTTCGAGGTGTTCGAGGTGCTCGAGGTGCTCGGTCGTTTCCGTCGGGATTTGGGAGGTCTTCCTGCCTCGGGATGCGCTCTGGCAGCCGCGCTTCGCCTTGAGCGTTTCTGGGGGGGGTCCAGAACGTCTCGAATGGCCGCCTGAGGCCTGAGCTGTGGCCCGAAAGCCGAGGTCAGGGGCCACTTCGATCCGATCGGTTCGGCCATATATAGATTTTGGCTGGCCCGATCGGATCCGCCTCGATGCCGAGATTCCGATGGTCCGATGATCCGATGCGGCCCGATGACCCTACAAGCCTCGTCAAAAGTAAACAGAAACGCAGTTGGAAATCACGACGATCGATCTTCTCGGGCACTTGTTAGAAACTGCGTTCTTCAATGCTGCGGAGGGGTCGTCGGGTTTTTGAAGCCCTTGCGTCCGCGTCAGAGATCTAGCGTCAGCATTGGAGTAGCGCTGACCATACAATCACCGAAAACAGAATCCCTCAGTTTATTTTTGACGAGGGTTGTAGGAAGCAGTCAGTACCCCCCTCCCCCATCAGAGTAAAGTACAACGCTTCCGGCACCGGAGCTGGGGCGGAAGCAATTTATCCCCCGCAGAGTCCTTCTCCTCCTTTCTCTCGCTCTTCCCCTGGAGGTCTCCGTAGCTTCCAGGAGGCATCCGATTGGTTTCCCATTGGTGGTCTCATGATTTTTCGATGTTCTTCGTTTGGCCAGGTCCCAGGCGAGCGGCAAAAATTGGTATGTAGGTTATGTTTTCTTGGTATAGTATGTGCCAACGATATCGGTAGAGGGGATTCGCCGACAATTCTTACATATGTTGCTTTTGGTGCCAACGATGTCGCCAGGGGGGGTACTGTTTGTTGTCTAGGGTATTTGCATGGCGTTGTTGGCTGTTGTGCGTCCTTGCGCAGCCGACCGGATCCGATTCCGACTCCGTGGCGATGCTGCCCGAGCAGGATCACGTTCCGATTCGAGCTAATTTCCCAGTCTGATGCTGACTGATCTTGCTCTGCCCATACCACACGCCATGATTTTGTGTGAACTCGTGACCCCGTCTTGGGGAGTATAGCGGGGGCGAGTACCAGAAACCGATGTTTTTCGTCAGGGCATCTTGGGTTTCTTCGCTTCTCGCGGCCCGCGATGGTTTCCCGCGGGCGTCAAGAAACTCTCGCGTTCAGGAGACCCTGGGTTTTTTCTCAATCCCACCTCGCGGAAGCAACGCTCCGCCACCGAAGAGACCTCGCTGCGCCGAAGGTACCATGCATTTCTTGCGCCCGCGCGGAATCGGAGGGCCAACAGCGAGATTACTAAAGAAACCCCGCCAACGAAGTGTTTTTCTCCTGGGTGGTCCGATGACCGAAGCAGGTTTCCAGGGCCTGAGGAGGAGGAGGAGAAGGAGGAGGAAGAGGAGGAGGTGGAGGAGGAGGGGGAGGAGGAGGAGGAGGAGGAGGAGGAGGAGGAGGAGGAGGAGGAGGAGGAGGAGGAGGAGGAGGAGGAAGGAGGAGGAGGAGGAGGAGGAAAGAGGAGGAAAAGTCAAGAAAGGAGGAGGAGGAGGAGGAGGAGGAGGGAGGAGGAGGGGAGGAGGAGGAGGAGGAGGAGGAGGAGTTGGAGGAGGAGGAGGAGGAGGAGGAGGAGGAGGAGGAGGAGGAGGAGGAGGAGGAGGAGGAGGAGGGGCGGGGGAGGGGGAGGGGGGGGGAGGGGAGGGGAAGGGGAGGGGGAGAAGGAGGAGGAGGAGGAGGAGGAGGAGGGAGGGGAGGAGGAGGAGGGGAGGAGGAGGAGGAGAGGCGGAGGAGGAGGAGAGGGAGGCGGAGGAGGAGGAGAGGAGGAGGAGGAGAGGGAGGGAGGGAGGAGGGAAGAGGGAGGAGGGAGGGGGGACGAGGGACGAGGGAGGAGGGCGGAGGGCGGAGGAGGAGGGAGGAGGAGGAGGAGGAGGAGGAATAGGAAGAGGAGGAGGAGGAGGAGGAGGAGGAGGAGAGGAGGAGGAGGAGGGAGGAGGAGGAGGAGGAGGAGGAGGAGGGGGAGGGGGGGAGGAGGCGGAGGAGGAGGAGGAGGAGGAGGAGGAGGAGGAGGAGGAGGAGGAGGAGGAGGAGGAGGAAGAGGAGGAGGAGGAGGAGGAGGAGGAGGAGGAGGAGGCGGCGTCGCCTACTACAAGAAGTCCATCCCGAGCATAGGCAATAGCAACCAACTACGCGACGAGCAACATCCGTGGGGCAGAAGAGACGTCAGCAAACACGACCACACGATCACCACGGAAGACAACGCTAATGCACGAGACGCCATCTCCCTCTTGTACACGTGCATAGCCAACGACACGACGTGCATGACAAATATCGGGCCTATGACGAGAACCGTCCCACACGAACTACAACACTTGGGGAGAAACAACCTCGCCACCATGACCGACCGATCCATCACTAGCAAGCACGTCATGAACACCAACGATGACGACGACGACGACGACGACGACGACGACGACGACGACGACGACATAGTACGCATCCTGGCGGCAGCACGCAGAAGTAGATATACAGACAAAAAGGAGATTTGCGGCCTCAGCGAGTACGCGACACATTACGACCGATACTACGCGGCAATCGAGCAGACGAGCCCACGAGCGGACCCCGCAGCGCATAGCGCCGAAGGGTGGGGGACGCTATGACGCAGCGCACGCACTTGCAGATAATAGAAAGCAAGACCCGGCGGAAAGCACGCAGACATTCGCTTTCCGGGGCGCCCTCTGGTACACATCTTGGAGCGCGCATCCCTTCGGAGGATAGTCAGGTGACGAGAGTGAACCATGGCGTCTCGGGGAGCCGTGGTTCTCTCCTCGGAGCCAGCATCCTCTTCGGAGGGCTGTTTGGGGCTGAACAAGGGCTGCGTGCGGATTGCTGGGCACACGGCGCCTCGTTGTGTTGCCCGTGACATCGGCGCACGACCATCGTGCTCGGCGGCCACGTCATGCGGCTCGTCGGCTGGGGGGGCTCACGGACTACGTGACCTACCACGACTGGCATCCCCCCCTTGAAGGCGGGGGGGAGGAGGACGACGCATTCCTGTGACGACAGCCCGCGGGGGCGCTCGGCCGCGGGGGTCCCCGTGAAGGCCCCTGATATCCCCTCCTTCTTCGTGGGCCTCACTTGAGCCTTTGGAGGCCCTCCCTCCCTGCCCTCGCGGCTCTGCGACCGCTCCCTTTACGCTCTGTTGTCCACGGGCCCCCCGACCTGGCGCAGTCCTGGTTCCTGGCCTGGCTCCTGGCTTGGGGGCCCGTCGGACTGCAAGAGAATATGCGCCTCGTCCCCCGTCCACCACCTCTGGCATCAATTGCGTGCTGGTGGTCCTCGATACTATCCGGGTGGTGATAAGGGGGCCGACGGGCCTGTAGATTTAGGCGGCCTGGTGGCCACCGCCGTCCCTTCTCTCCGGGGACCCTTGTGGCCTTCCTCCTTCTTTCCTTTATGGCGGGGGTCTCTTGGGTCCCTGGGCCCGCTCTCCGAGGCTTCCTGGATGCTCTCGGAGGCCGTCAGATGTAGTTAGGGTCGCGCCGCGCGGGCGTGCGGCGTGGGCTTCGGCGGGACAGACCGCTTTTGCGCCGCGCGCCCAATGAGGAGGAGGAGGAGGAGGAGGAGGAGGAGGAGGAGGAGGAGGAGGAGGAGGAGGAGGAGGAGGAGGAGGAGGGGGAGGGGGAAGGGGGAGGGGAGGGGGAGGGGGAGGGGAGGGGGAGGGGGAGGAGGAGGGGGCGCCGAGCAGAATTTCCCAGGCCTGGGGGACATTGGCCGTCGTGACTGTCTCGTGGCGCCGAAGGCCTGAGGTCCCCCAGCAGCTTTTCAAAGGTATTCCTGAAGGCCTCTCTGGGACCTCCATAGGCCTGGCCTTACGTCGGGCCTGCCCCTTTACACGAGGAGTATTCAGAAATAGTCAAAAATTGGTCCGGGGACGATTTTTCGAGTATGTTTGCATTCTTTCTTGATTCGTTTGGGGGTATTCCTGACGGCTTCTAGAGGCCTCCGTAGGCCTGGCCTTAAGTCGGGCCTCTCCCTCTACAGGAGGAAGGTTCAAACACAGTTAAAACATAGTCTGGGGACGATTGTCTGAGCATGTCTTAGCTGTTTGGGGGCATTTGTGGTGCATGTGTATTTTTTCGCCCAAAATCCCTCCTGTATGGGGGACAGGCCCGACCTATCCATCGGGTTTGGCCCGAGATGATAGAACGTCCAAGCAGGATTGTCTTCGACACTCGGCCCACAACTTCTCGATTCTGCCCCGTGCCCCAAGAGTTCACTTCCAACCGCCGCCCAGGGGCGTTCCTCTTTTCCCTCCCTTGCTCGAGAATAGGGGAGCTTCCCTTCCTCTCAGGAGAGTATGGTTACTGGCGCGTGGGCCCCTGACAGTAAGTTGTTGCCCTGTGGATGAGTGCGCTATGTGGTGCAAGCTCTGTGAAGCAAGCTATGTGGTGCATTCCACCTTGCAGAACTTGAAGACGTCGATTCTACTGCTCGCGCAATCATCACACCCTCCCACCTCCAACTTGTTTTGCACAACCCATGCGGCCGCACTTGTTTTCACTTTTTGGCCCTGGCTGGCGCGTCTCTGCAGCCGCGCTGGCGCGCGCAAGCTCGCGCGCAGAGCGTTCAGCTGGTTTGGCACAGTCGATGCGGCCGCGATAACGCTTACCGTTGGCAACATCCCAGCGCGTCCAAAAGTCCACGCTGGCGCGCGGGCGCTTCAATGCGGGTCGGTGGCTCTGGCGGACGGGCGCGGTATGATGATGACATCGGCAACGGCGGCAAAGATGATGATAGTAGCAATGATGGCTGCGAGTTCGACGATGACGACGGCAAGGCCGATGAAGGTGCGGGTGCTTGTGACGACGGTGACGATGAGAATGTCCATGTGTCAGTGATGAAGGTGTTTAAGTGATGATGGCGGCAATGGCGGCGATAGTCGGTAACGGTGGCGTGATGCAGTGGCGCTCATGCTGGTGATGGCAAGGACGTGAGCGCGCGGACATCCAAGAGCTCGAGCGAAGTCTTGATGGACAGCTATGTGTGTTTCACACGTGTTTGAAGAGCTGTACGGGTTCGAGCGATAGGCGCGTGCCACATCAACCCAGATGCACCGCGTGGTGAGATGAGGGTGCGGGGCCTGGACGAGACTGTGAACGCCATTCGGTTTCCGTATGATTTCATCAAATGCGCGCGGGCAGAGAACTTGCAATATTTGTGATGAAAAAGCGAACGGTGATTGATGTTTTTATGTTTGGATGCTTGCACACCTGATGTGTGCTGGTATGATTTCGACATTTGCGCGCGCGTGTGGACATTGCGCCATGTTTTGTAAAAGGACTGTTGACACATCATCTGTTTTGACATACGGAAGGTGTGCGCGCGCATAGTCTTATTTGTCAGGGATGAGGGGGATACCTGGCTTGCCTGGGGTGGTGTGAGTTCCTATTATATATGTATGGATAATGAACGATGGGGCAGGGTCGTATTTAACTTGCCGTATCTACGGGGTGCGATACGTCAGGTGGGTAGAAGGTGGTAGGGTCCAGAAGGGGAATCCAATTTGGAGAACTTAAGTTGTTAACTCCACTGCTCCCGCAATCTCCCCACCTTCCCATCCGCAACTTGGTTTGAAGAACCCATGCGGCGGCGGCGGTTGCGATGACTGCTTGGCCATGGTTGGCGCATCTTTGCAGCCGCTTACGCGCGCAAGCTCGCGCGCTGAGCGGCCAGCTGGTTTGGCACAGCCAATGCGGCCGCGATGGCGGTTACCCGAGGCAAGACCCCGAAAGTGCAAGCACTGGTTTGGGAAAGAACGATCCCTTTTCCCCAGGTGTTGCTCCACGAGAAAAGAGGAGCCGCATTTTTGCATACAGCGGCCGCCCCGGGGCAGCCTCCTCCTAGAAAATGGGGTGTTCTTTTCCCCTTGCCTCTTCCTCTAAGTTGTCCCCAGCACGGCCCCTCGCCGCCCCAGTCCCTCTGAGAGGTCACCTACAACGCCGCCGCGAGCGCCTGCGAGAAGGCATCCCGTTTTGATGTTTCTTTGTGGAGCTCATTTCGAAAGGACCAGGGGAAAGAGGAGGGATGTGATCGAGGGGCCGGTTTTTTCTTCCGGTTCCGATATCTGGGGGACCACTTGTTCCGAGCCCCAGGGCCGTTAGAAGTCGATCCGGGGCGAATCAAATTATCGTGACAGGCCCAGGGAGGGGTCCAGGGACCGATTTGGAACAGATTTTGGGTGGGGGAGAGTTGGGAATCAAGAGGAGGACGAGGACGAGAATGAAGAGGACGAGGCGTGGGAGGAGACGGAGGAAGGGGATGGCCCTCTTTCGTTTTTCTCGTCGTCCTTCTCTTGTTCCTCCTCTTCCGTCCTCCTCCTCCTCCTCCCCCTCACTTTCGGTCGGGTACGTAGTTTTGAAGTCGACTGCCCTTTGCCATGACACCACATGAACGGACGATTGATCCATCGAGCAGGAGCTCATAAAGACTCCGTGCCTCTGTTCAGGTGCTCGATCCTGCAGCACTTGTTGGCGCTTGAACGTTTCCCTCGCAAGGGCCATCGCGTTGGATCTAGTATTTGAACCCTGCGGTAGATGTACAGTGGGGGGCCCATGCCAAGAAACGCCCTGCTTGCCTCCAGGGTGCCCTGGGTTTCTTGGGTCTCGATGGTTTTGCGATGGAGAGCGTGACGTTCCCACACCAAGAATCCATGGGCGTCCTAGGATCTAAGGGTTGGGTCTCGTGTGGAAGGTTTCTTGTGGTCGGGTCCCCACTGTATTGTGCTACACTCAAGTTCATGCGTCCTCGCATATTCGGGTAGGCTCTCCCGATGTTGTATGCCGCCGGGGCAGTGCGAAGCCTGGACCACAGCCTCTCGGGCCAGCTTCGGGTGCGGGAAGGAACTGGGGACGATCCGCGTTATCGCATCCCCTGTCGTGTATTTCGGCACGAGATGACGTTCTCGCTTCACCTCTAGCCTCTGTGCGTCCGAAAATTATCACATTCCAAGTTCATGCTTGGATCACCTTCCGATGGGGGCGGAGGAATACTTGCTGCCAGCAGGAGTCGCTATCTGTGTTGTTGCCCAGCACCTGCACCATGCATAGTAAATGCATGTACAGTGATGAGGTGGCTAGGGCTTTCTGGCGGACAAGGGATATCACCAAGCACATCTGGGATGAGCCAGCCATTGCAGGGACATCGCCCCGGATGACTGGCGGTCTTGCGTTCTCTACCGTATGTTTTGTCTTGCGCGAGTGGTGCAGCATCGTCGGCGAGAGCGAGACCAGTGTCCTCTTCCCCGGAGCGAGCGCCATACCCGACCAGCGTCGGGCGCGAGCGACCGTAGGTCGGAGCGTTCGGCGGAGCGCCAGACGAACGACGGGGTGGGTGAGGTCAAGCCCGCGCGCCTCCAAGCGACACGGGGACCCAGAACCCCGACGTTGTGTTTTTTTCACAGTGTCGACCCCAAGAGGTCTGGACTCCTTCTCCAGGACCGGTTCTTCGTCCGGAGTCGCTTTTTGATGGTCCCGAGGCCCCGTAAGGGCCCCCGGAGGCCGAAAACAGGGAGAAACCTCCCGTCGGGTTTTTTTTTTTTTTTTTTTTTTTTTTTTTTTTTTTCACAGCGCGAGGAGGTCAGGGAGGCGGGCTGCGCCCCCTTCGCCCCCGTGCGCGGCCCAGGTCGGAGACCCCGCCTGCGCACGCCGACGCCCGTCCGAGCGGCCCCGGAGCCTGCCCGAGAGGCGTTCCGCACGCCCAGCAGTCGCGACTTGGGGAACTGCTGCTACAGGAAGCCTGTGGAAATAGTCCAAACGTAGTCTCCCGCCGCTTGTGTGGAAGCCATGTTGGAATAGTCCAAGAATATATATCTCTCTATATATATATAGAGAGAGAGAGAGATTAATTGAACAAAAACGCTGGTCTTCATGGCACTCCCCTGGCGAAAAACCCTGGGAGGAGGGGGGGGGGGTCCACATCGTCCCGGGCGCCCGCGCCCGGGGCGAGCCTGCGGCGGGCCCCCCTGGGGCTCGCCAGGCACGTGCGGACACCATCTCGGCCTTCTCCCTGGGACGTACCCGAGGCAAGGCTGCGCCGCGGGCCCAGGCGGGGGGACGCGCGCTCCCGCACACACGTTCTGGCTTTGTGGGCAGCCACCCCCTCCTCCTCCCCCCTCCCCCTCCCCTACCCTTCATCCTCCTCCCCCCCATCTTCCTTCCGTCCTCATCCCTCATCCTCATCCTCCCTCCCTTCATCCTCCTCCCCCCCTCATCCCCCATTCCTCCCGTCCCGTCCTCCCCTCGCCCTTCCCCCCCCCCTCCTCCTCCTCCTCCTCCTCCTCCTCCTCCTCCCTCCTCCCTTTCCTCTCCTTCCCCCCCCCGTCCCCTCGTCCCTCAGCCCCTCAGCCCCTCAGCCCATGCCCCCCCCCTGCCCATCCCATCCCTCTCCCTCGCCATCCCTCTCCCTCGCCCGCCGTTCCCGAGACCCCGAGCCCGCAGGGCCAGCGGTGGGCCTTGGCGCTGCACCTGCTGCTGAGCGCCTCCCGCGCCCGCCGGCTGCGGCCCACCGCCGCGTCCTGCGGCGCCGCGCTGGGGGCGTGCGGGAAGGGCTGCGCGCCTCAGCGCGCTCGGCGCGTTCGGGTCGACGACGACGACGACGACGACGACGACGACGACGACGACGACGACGACGACGACGGGACGGCGACGGACGACGACGACGACGACGACGACGGCGACGACGACGACGACGACGACGACGTCGACGTCGACGTCGACGACAACGACGACGACGACGACAACAGCAATCAGTGTAAGACTGTTCGCTCTAATCTGCTGGCGGGCCATTCAACACGTATATCCCAAACCCTCGATACCCGTCTTCTTCGTATTCGATCGTACCCCCTTGGGGGTATATGGTTCCTACATGCTATGTGTATTTCGTGCAGCCCGTAAGGCAGTGGAAGAGAGGACGGGTGGAATGTAGGGACAAGGGGGAGGGAGGAGGATGGAGCACAAGAGAGAGTAGCAGGAGGGGGGCTAAGAGCATAAAGCACGTGGCAGAACCAGACGGGCAGATCGGGCGGCTAGATCCTACCGGGCGGGTTGGGAAGGCGGGCCCAGGCGGCCAGGTCGAGCAGGCGGATTGCTAAAGCGTGCGTCTTGTATGAATTGCGAGGAAGTCTCAAGCGATAGCTCGATTCCCAAATAAATCGTCAAGAAATCCACAGCGAGAGCGTGATTCCTGAGTGTCCAGGGCGCGGCGTTTGAATAAATGGCGGCGAAGTCCCACGCGACAGCGCGATTCCTGTATACATTGTAGGGATGTCCCGCGCGCGAGCGCGACTTGGCAATTCACTGTGGGGAAGTATCAGGCGGGAGCCGCTGTTGTTGTCGTTCGGGGGCCAACAACCCAGTTTGGTGGCCCCTCGTTTCCCCTTGCAAAAACAAGGTGCAAGCCCCAGGATAAGCTATTTCACTGAAAAATACAATGGTTACTGGAGGGGGGATTCAACAACAATGATTCGTGAGCATGGGAATGCAACAACGACGACGGCGGAGAAGAGGGAAATGTAGGGATATGATATAATGCTGCCCTTCCCTCCTCTTGGGCGTTTTTTGGGCCTCCTGGGAGGCCCTCGCCGCCACGGCCGGATTCGCCTCGAGATGCTTGTCGGGACGCGCCCCAGGATCTGCACGAACGAGATGGGCACGGAAAGAATGGGTACAATGCCCAACAGCGGATCCTGTTCATTCTGAACAGGACTCGCTGTCCACGCCGCCGCGGCCTGTGTTCATTTGAGACAGAAGGCCGCCTGCCCCAGCGGCCGCTGTTGGTTCGGGACAGCATTTGCTGTTGGGCATTGTGCCCATTCTTTCCGTACCCATTTCGGGCGTCCAAACAGGAGAGGTCGGGGGTGTAGCTGTATCGGTATCTTCTGGTCCCCCCTAACGACCACCGCGGACCATGACGGACGACCATGACGGACCACGACGGCGACGACGACGCACGGCGACCGGCGACGAGGGTCGATGAAGAGACTGCGGCGGCGGACGGCTCGACGGCGGACGACGGGCGAGGAGGACGGACGGCCGACCACACCGACGCACGCCGACGGGCGGTGAAGACTGCGCCAAACGACGGCGGCAGCACTGCTCGGCCCTGGGTTCCCTGGGGGTCCACGGTCAGGAATCTGGGCTCGGCGTGTCGCTCCGCTGGTTCTGGCCCACCACGCTGCGGCGCGACGCGCCATCCGCGCCCCAGTGCCTGAGCGTCGGGAGCCTCTCCCGGCCTTCCGGCCCGCGGAGCGGTGCGACACGCCATTCGCTCGCAAGGCATAGCGTGTCGCCGGGGCCGCCGCGGCGACACGCTAAGTAAAACCCCCCAGGTTTCTGACGCGGGCGGGCGAACGTTCGAGAGTTCCAGCGTTCCTCGCCCTTCTTCACCCCTGCGGGGGGAGAAGGGAGGAGGAGGAGGAGGAGGAGGAGGAGGAGGAGGAGAAGGACTTCTTCACTCGCTTCGGGAAACAATCCAAGCCGCGGACGCTTTGTCGGCCAGCACCTCGTATAGTCTGAAGAAGACTGCAGGTCAGTTGAAGCTTCGGGTGCTGGGCTTAGCCATTTTGGGTCTGTACCTGCTGGCTCAAATCCAGTAATTAGCTAGCCAGGTGGTTCGGTGGGCCTTCGGGAGGCCTCAAACGCGCCGCACTGGGCCCACGATGTGGCCCGCACGTGGTATCATACTGCTGTGCGCGGGCCTTGCCAGCCAAACGCGGAGCTGGCTGCCATCGTGGGCAGAGCACCTAAAGACGCCAGAAACCGCCGGGGCAGCCCCGCCTGTGCAGCCGCCCGGCTTGTAGCCTGCGGGGCGGGACTCGCGAAGCTCGTTGGCTCAGCGACGCCCCTTGGGCAGCCCCTGGGCGCGAAGCCGGCTGCCAAGCCGACGGGCGGCGCGGCGCTGCGCCGCCCAGCGGGCAGGCAGGCAGGCAGGGCCGCGCGCCCGGGCCGCCTCCCGCCCCGGGCCGCTCGGCGGCCGAGGGCGGAGCGGCGGCGCAGGCGCCACCGCTGGCCAGACCCGCCCGCCAGTGCGTCGGGGCCGGTGCGAGGTCGGAGGCACGCTGGCAGCGGAGGAGGTTCGAGAGGGAAAGAAACACGCGGACACAATGAATCGTCGACTCCCAGGAGAGTAGGGGGAATTTTGGGAAGGGGGGGGGAAGACGAAAACCCCGAAAGTATGGGAAGATATGGGGAAGCCTGTTATTGGTGTGTATTTATTTGTGTGTCCCAGTGCCCCTTCAGAGGTGTTGGGCCCCCCGTGCCTGCGCCACCCCCATGGGGGCCGACGCTGGGGTTGCCGCCAGTCGAATCGAAGGGTGGCGAGGATGCCTGCTCGGTGCCCGGGACGGGGGGTCCCGTCTTTCAACCTTTCTGCATTGATGGGGCCGCTGGGTGGCCCAGCGCCTAACTTAGCTGCTACGTCTGCTTCTTCATTCCCCCTGGCCTTTTGCCCGTCAGGTGAGGAGCGCTCGAGTGGCTCAGGATTGACGTGTGCCTTGACCTTCGGAATCCAGAATCCCGCAGGTACTGTGCCAAGAATGTGTACTTGAGGCCCGCGTAGTAGCTCTTACAATTCAGACTCCCGTGCCAGGGTTTTCCGAGCATTTCAGAGACTCCATCAAATCAGCATATGCTGTTGTAGCCCCAGGGAGAAGAGTCGTTACTGCGAGTGCTGCAACATGCTCCCCCGAGGGTGAAGTCTGTGGAAGCACATCTCCCGTCTCCCACTCTACCGAAAAGTCTGCCTAGGAGCTATCCTTCCAGTGATATCTCAGAGGTGCCCCAACCTGCATGATCATACAGTTTGGCACCGTCGTTGAAGCAGTTCCCATCGATGAAGACATCGCCTACCATTACCTCCTGGTAGAGTTCTCCTGAGCTGGTCCATGACAAGAAGCTCTCGATGCCTAGTCCAGCTGGGGCGGCGAAAGGGGGAGAGAGGCACAGTCTAAAGCCTAAACCACTCCTCCCTGCAAGACACCCTTCCACTGCACTCCCAGATTATATCAGAGAGGCTGCCTGAAGTTGATTACACCACATCGACGACAACACGCTTCCACAGCATAACCCATCACATGTTGCCTTGCTTGGGACCTGTGCATGTGAATGAGCTAGGGGCGACTTCAGAAGTTTACGATGGTGACAATCACACTTCTCCTCGCCGGTGATTTGCACTGCCGAGCCAGGGCCAATCGTCTCTTTGCGGAGGGAACGCCTACTTGTTGCAAGATCACCCTTGGTTATGAAGGGTTGACCCGGTAAGTGCATTCGAGCCGGTTCAGTCGTCAACGGGGGGGTGTTAGTGGTGGAGCGTTTCCGCCGTTATTCATCGTTCCAGGGGGGTCAATTTCGATCGGACCCCCCGTCATTTCTCCAAAGTGGGGGGTCTGCCTGCGCGCGATTTGTCTGTTGTCGGCTTCTGCTGCTGCTGCTGCTGCTGCTGCTGCTGCTGCTGCTGCGTGCTGCTGCTGCTCCATGCTGCTGCTGCTTGCGCGGTTCCAAGCGGCCCCCAGAGGCCCCCAAAGGCACCCAAGAGGCACCCAAGAGCGCCCCAAGACGCCCCCAAGAGCGCCCCGAGAGGCCCCCGAGAGAGCCCCAAGATTTTCTGTTTTTTCTGTGACCCCTCTGGGAGCTTTTGGTGGCCGAGGCCTCCAAAGGCTCCCAAGAGGCCCCCAAGAGGCCCTCAAGGGCCCCCAAGAGGCCCCCAAGAGACTTCAAGAGCGGCCCAAGAGGCCTCCAATAGGCCCCCAAGAGCGCCCAAGAGGCCCCCAGGAGGCCCCCAAAATTATTCCAGAAAAAGTAACGGAAATCACACTTTTTAAAGATTTCGGGAGACCCGCCGCTTTCGCCCCCTGTTTTGAACACTTTTTGGCGCGTCGCCGCGGCTTGTTTTTGTTGGCCTGCGCACGAAAAAGCCACCCCCGGCCCGCCCAGAGGGACGTCCAGAAAATGTGCTTTTTTGGGGGTTCCATATTCAGGGGACATTCGCAAAACCCACAGTTTCGGCAGGCCCTATGAATAGTGGAAGCGGGGGCCGGGGGGGCCCAAGACGGCTAGAAAAAGACACCAAAATCGTCAAAGCGTGGCCTTGGAGGCCCTGATGGCCCCAAGGGGCCGCGATATTCCCCCAAGAAGGCGCCATATGGCTTCAATGGTTTCCAAGCCGCTCTTGGGGGCTTTCGGAGCCTGTATGCGTGCTTATGGGGGCCTTCTGGTGGGCTTCTTGGGGCCTTATGGGGCCATGCCGGGGGCCTTATGGGGCCCTCTTGGGGGCTTCTGGGGGCCTCATGGGGCCATCTTGGGGGCATGTGGGGGGCCTTTCGGGAATATTATGGCCTTTGGGGGTGGTTTGGGCCCCTGTCCAGCGACTTGTGTCGTGCCGAGCCAGAGTGATTTGCTCATCAGATGATTTTGCAATGCGTCAAAAGCTTTATTCATCGCCGAAGTGGGGTGTTGTGTTTGTAGTTGGGTTGTTATTGTTCGAGAAACCCCCCTCGTGTGTCGCCGTTGGAAGCGTTATTTATCGTTCCAGGGGGGTGAGTTAGTGTTAGTCAGGTTTTTCATTCGTCACGGCTGAGGGAAGGTTGAGTGTTTCGCGATTTATTTTTATTATTCAAGCCTGCTGAGACCAGGGTCCAGCGTTGTATTGCCGGGCGTGATGTTGCAAGCACCGCTGTTTGGTGACGCCACTGCTTCTGCATCAACCACTGCCGCATCTGGGGAGAGGTATCCGTCATGTTGAAGATTGAACCCGGAACGGTTGTAACCCTAATGGATCCGCCAAACTCCAGGGGGAGGAGGAGGAGGAGGAGGAGGAGGAGGAGGAGAAGGAGGAGGAGGAGG